CCTTTCATCTGTGTGGGGGGGTAAAGTGGGGCTCTGAGGTCCCGCGACTCGCAATTTGCCTCAAAAATTATATAAGGAAATTCAGGTATCTGATCAAAAATTCCACGCGACAGCCGGCTGGAAGATAGATGAGCTGTCCAAGACAGACGAGCCGATTTGGTGAATTTCGCTAATAACTAACTGTGCCAACTTTCCTACTAGCGTTGGCAGAGGAAAGGGAAAGGGAACAGCCCCCCCAACATGGTGCGTCGGCCGGGAAAATCCCTCGAACCATCCTAACACCACCAGAACGCGAATTTGAGGACCAGATGAAACAAACAATCAGGATCTGGTGCCGTACGGAGCGAATCGCGAACCTGATTAGTACATGGCCAACAAACCCCCCGGACGTCGCGACCATCATCCATGTCGGCCTGATTGTCGAGCACTTCGAACTCACCAACAACCGACTGTTTCTCGACAAACGTAACCAATCGGCCGTCCTGGACAGACCGCAGGAGCCTGCCCGGTTGCACTGGCTGGTGACACAGATCAATAAAACCATAACGTCGGGTATTATGACCGCAAAAGCAATAGCAATGCTGGGCGTGGAGATCCGCACCACAGTACGGCGCTCGGTCGAAGACTTCAAGACAGTCATGAATTTTAAGTTCACGGAGGAATATCCTGCATGGAAGCTGGACGAGATGGCAGTCATCGATCACGACCAGAATGACTGAGAAGCGGCCGCCATTATGGGAATTCATCCGGAAGAGGAATGCTTTCTGCGAAAAATACTTCGTTGGGAAGCCTGGACCAAGAAAGCTCCGGAAAAATCCTCCCCCTACAGCAAATCGAGTCGTCCCCAGCAGACGCAGCCGCGTGCAACGGATCCCGGCTATTGTAAAAGCCGCGCGAAGCATCTGGGGAAGCCACCAACGCGTGCCTACAGTATTGATGAATTCAGGATGGCTCATACCGGAAAACCAAGGCGAAGATGAGGAAGACGACTACCCTCCAGCTCACCTACACTTCCTCAACGAATCACCTGAGCCTTGACTCTCGTTCCTTTGTAATGTCCCAACACTATACCGTTGTTCATTTGTTGGAAAAACACCGTAGCTAATTCCCCGAATTGTCCCTAATTAAAAACGATCGTCGTTCCCATGCGTGCTTGCTTAACACTAACGAAAAGGATAGGAATAAAAGCTTTTCCAGAAGCTCGTCGAGCGGTCAAGAAGAAGAGAAGTGAGGAGAAGGCGCGCATGGCGGACGACAAGGAAAAGAAAGACGAGAAGGAGGAAGGGATCCAGATAGGAGAATCCACCGTCAAGACGGTGCTTAGTGTACGTTTTCAAGAAAATTTTACATACAATTTTTAAAGGTAAGCAACGTGATACGGCGACATGAGCAAGAACGACGAGCAGAAGGAAGAAAACGAAAAGCCAGCGAAGAAACATGAATCCTCTGCAAACGTACTGGAAAAATGTTTGCGGTCAAATCGTGTGCATTAGGGATGCAGTCCCACATTCGTCTCTAGTTTGCCAAAGGTAAAAGCTAGCATTAAATCTGAGCATCATTAACCTTCTTCAGAGCCGAAAACGCCGAACGAGTCCGCGCCTTGCCCACAAGCTCCTTCAGTCTGGACGCGTCGTTGTCGACGTCGATGTCGTCCCTGCTCAAAAGAAGCAGCACTAAACTGCGGGTTCCACTGCCCCATCCCTAGGTTCTAGATTGTTTTTATTTTTTCAAAAAATTGTCTAAAAATGTTTATTACATTAGGAAGGACTGTAATTAAGGAGGCAATGTTGTTTTTCGGTAGAAATAAACAAGGGAGTTATTTACGAAAAAGAAGAAAAAGCACTTAATTAGCATCCAAAGGGACCTCTCTAAAAATAGCTACATCAGGCGCAGGAGCAGGAGCGGGCAGATTAGCGTTTTGAGCGCGCTTGTAAAAAACCCACAGACCAACCGTTACTTATCCAAAGCGATAGATAGCAAATGGTTTTTCAAATATCGTATTTCGGAAAACCACTGTTTGAAACGTCATTTTTTTGTAGAAAACAAATTTTTGAAAAAACCCTTTCTCGATAATCGAGATCTTAAAACGCGTCCGACCACCAACAGAATGAGCCACAATGGAAGGAAATGGCAATGCAAATTTTTTCGAAAGTTTCGTAAAACTGATTTCCCAGAAAATTACCGTATTGATTCTACCAGGAGGGGGGGGGGCGGCAAACTTATGGTGAACAAAAAAACATTATTACGTTGCACTAAAATTACGACACTGAATTTGTATTTAAAAACCTTGTCGCATAACCTTTTTTGCAGAAAATCATCGAAAACCCCTAATTGCCCACGAAAATCTCAACCCGGCGCCGTCGACGAGGTATCCTATGCGGGTTGCCGTGGCATACGAAGCGGATGGGGCAATCGCAAAAACATCGGACGAGGAAGATTTTCTTTCAACAAATGAAACTAAATAATAAATGAAGCTAAATAATAAAATGCCGTTTTATAGCACGTATGACACAAATACTCTACAACAAATACACAACCTGAAAAATATCTTCAAAGATGGTATCCTTATCGGCACACAGCGTCTACAGGGTGTTCCAAAAAGTACCCCCTCTGCGGCGCACACTCGTGTTCGATTCGAATATTACGATACGATTGTCCGATTCGAAAGCTATCGACGAGCTGAGGAAATATGTTGTCGCCGATTTTTAAAATTCCCGAATCTTTGACCCGATTTTTATCGTCATCGGCAAAAACTCAATTGATCGGCTTCAGGCCCATCCACGCTATGTCTTCTCAAATGCTTTTAAAAAAGCCGACCTTGGGCTGCCAGGAAAAATGCAAAAATTTGAAAAAGGAATTTTTGTCAAAAACACTAAACAACGTTAATGAATGTTATTAAAATTCGGGAATTTCAAAAATCGGAGAGAGGACACGTCACGTCGAGAGCTTTCGATAGATTGCTAAATCGTGAAAATCGGACATCACTGCGAAGCGCTAAAGGGGCCCTTTTTGGGACACCCTGTACAAATTGAACTTTCGACAGCCTTGATTACACAACTTTACACAATTTTACACGACAATACACAACTCGGAAAATATCCTCACAGGTGATATCCTAGCCGGCGGTCCCAAATGAAGAATTACAATTTTGAAAATGAGTCGCCGAGATCGTCTTTGTTCAGAAATTCAAACTAGCTTTCTTTTCCCTGGTGCTTTTCAATTCACGGAAAAATTTTAGGATTGTTTTTTAGGTTTTTTTTTTGCGTATAACTTGGCCATTTTTTCAGGAAATCAACGTATCGATTTCCCCTGGGGGTCAACAGCCGACTGGCTGCTAGTCCCGGCGGGTGTAACTCTTTTGCTCAGTCTAAGCTCTTTGCTCTTGGACCGGGTCCGTATTTTGCTTCCGTCTAACCGTTTTCTAATGCAAATTTAGTTTTCTGACTACTTTTCAAAAAGTTAAAGGACACATCTCACTCACTCTCTTTCTCTCTCTCTCTCTTTCTCTCTCCCTCTCTCTTTCTCTATCTCTTTCTCTCTCTCACTCTCTCTCTCTCTCTCTCTCTCTCTCTCTTTCTCTCTCTAGCTCCCCCTCTAGCTCTCTCCCTCTTTCCCTCTATCTTTATCTCTAGCTCTCTCTATCCATAGCTCTCTCACTCTCACTCGCTCTCTGTCTCTCTCTTTCTCTCTTTCTTTATCTTTCTCTCGCTTTCTCTCCCTCATTTTCGATTGGAAAATAAAACGTTTTTAGTATTTCTCGGCTTGGATAATTTCTCGTCAACGATGGTGCTTTCTATGAACGGCGCCTTTATGGATTTTCTAAAACAAATCATGAAAAACAAGACTTCAAGGTAAGAATAATTACGATTTAACGATAACCATCCATTATACCGTCATGAAGCGAGGATAAAATGATGAGGACATGGATTAACGATCCCTGCTACCGAGAAGGGAATATAGACGGACTAGCTATTTGAAAAAGGTAGTTTGTGGTGCTATTCGATCGTGAGCCAATCAATTCGAATTTCGGGTTTTCGAGGATTTAAAAAAATCCTAAACTTCGTATGTAAATCTAGCGCTCCTGACTATCGCACTGTCCTGTAAAATTGCGTAAAAGTGAATAGATGGGATGGATTGGTATTCTTTTTGCAACTTAACCTCTTTAAAAACAATCAAAATGGCAGAAAAACCTATGCAATCTCTAGTCAGGTATTTAAGAATTTTAAGTACAATTAAAAAATAAGAGGTAGTGGGTAGATTAACCAATGTCTCGCGACTATCAAATTGCCTCAAAAATTATATAAGGAAATTCAGGCATCTGGTCAAAAATCCTTCGCGACAGCCGCGTGGAAGATAGATGAGATGACCAAGGGAATGAAGGGACCAAAGACAGACGAGCCGGTTTACCAAATTTCGACAATAACGAACGATGGGGACGATAGTTCAACAATGGAGGCTAAGTAGTTACTTCGATACGCCCCACTAATGATCCCGAGCCGGCAATAAGAAAAGGAAGGCGCAAGTGACGAAGGTCGGCACGACCAAGGCTGAAATTACGCCAGCCGCGAGCAACATCCTGAAGGGTACAGTAAATGCGAAATGCTCTGTAAAAACGTCAGGCAGACCGTCAAAACAGTGCTGAATGTAAGCGTAGCCTGCAAACAAGTGAATGCCATCGATTTTCCACCAGCCGAAATCGGACCATTGCCGGCAAAACGTGTGTGAAACGCTCAGCGCCGTTTACGCACACGGCTATGGAGATGGCCGGACAATTTTTGAACGTAATGACGGATGGAACAGGCGAATTAATCAAAGAATGGATTACAATTTTCAACTGTTTGGCCAGCGGAATGGCGCAGGCTGAAGTCGTGTCTAGCCTGATGGCTGACGACCTCTTCCTTTGCCTAAATCGCTCCATGGCGGGAAGAGGATGCCGGAAAGCATCATGTGCAACAAAGCAGTCACCAGCGGGTCCCAATGATCATGATAAAACTGAAGCTATGATCCTCTTAAATCTCGAATCGCCGAAAAACCATGAACAAAAACGTGGTCACAAACGAAAGTCGAGGAAGTTGAAGCACATCTGCCTTCCGCATTGTGAGTATCTATGGTGGCAAGAGGCAAAAAAGCGGAAGAAATGTCTCTCCACAAGGTTTGTTGCGCAAATAAAAATTGTTTTTTGGTTTTTTCCAAAATTCGAATTTTTCTTCCAAAATTCGAAACGGAAGTTCTATTTTTAGGGAGGGGGTTGTACTCGCGATAGGGAAATATATTTTGTGAGTTTGCGCAGTTCAACGATTTCTAGCATTTGAAACTTGACATTCGCTCACGAGCACCACGCAAACATAAACGTTTTCGCATTTGACTTGCTTTTCGACTGCAGCTTTGAAAAAAATTTTTCGGGGGCGGGGCCTATTGGCGAAAATATCGTATATTTTGTTCGGGATTTTAATTTTCGCAAAATTGTCTTTTGATTGCCTGGTGAAAAATAGGGCCCGACATTAAAAAAAGCTCTGTTTTCTATAATTATCAAAAATTATAATGATCTCATTTTCAGGGAAGCAGCAAAAAGAGGGTGGAGCTGGCCACTGGAAGAAATGATGCCGGCACTTCGGCTGCCTGAGAGAAATGACAGTGCAAAGCCGCCACGCTTGCATCAGGTATGTCATTCACTTATCCCAGGAGAATGACAATGCTTCTAGCGAAGAACATCAGGCAATCATCCTCTCTCCATAGTGGAAAAAATCAAATTCGCCGTCCGGAGCCGGTCCCATCTGGAAAATCACAACAATCTATCGATTCAAAAAAAACCCTCGGACTTTGACGGCTTTTATGCCAGCGAATCGACCTTTGTGTACCATCTTTCTTTATATGCGAATTGGAATAAACGGAGTTACCAGTTTTTAACTATATTTTTTAAGTCAGAATAAACGGGTGAAAAAATCAAAAAGGGTAGACCTATCTGTACCATCAGCAACAGTAACATTTCGGGTCGGGTCGTAAAAAGCGCCCGTTTTCTCTCTTTAGCTCTCTCTCTCTCTCTCTCCCACACTTCCTGCGTCTACTTACGCTGCGCAACCCCCATCGCCCCTTTCAACTGCATATCACCCCCCAGCGCGGCATTCCAAAAAACCTTAGGCGTCGTTTGCTTAATTACCGTTCCATTCTGCTCGAGGCAAATGTTCAAACATTTAATTTTCCAGGCTTTAATTTATCAAAAACTGACACAAAAACTCAAGCTCTTGTGCTTTCATTTTTTTATCATTTCTTTGCGAACCCTAAAATATTGCTCATTTCAGGACTCGTCTTCAACTTGTGCGTATTCTACTAAAAATGGAGGCCTTCGGAAAACGCCTCTACCGAACGTTTCAAATTCAATGAATTTGGGCTAAATCAAGACGAAATCACATACTTCGGTCTGAACCGAATTAAATAAAGGTCACGTGAGATCTGGCCGACCACGTCAATGCACTGATGTGCGACAAACTGAAGGTAGGAGTCGATTAGGAATATACAAATTTCCATAAAAGCAAAACCAGGAAAAGTTACCTTTTACATCGAGTTTTTACGCCAGATTGTTATTGATTTCGGCAAATTATTTCATGCTTAAGAAAACTTTGTTTTTATAATGTAGCCGGGTTTTTATGCTTACGCCATGCCCTATTTTTTGTGGATATCACCGGCTTTCCTCAAATGCAAAATTTCAGACCCGCAAAGAAAAACCGTAACGATTACGAGACAAAAATTCGTAGTAGATGGGTTGAAGATGAAGAGCGCATGATAGAATTTGAGCAACAGCTACAGTTTTTTGAAGGTAGGAAATTTAATTTATCCTTTACCCTCCGACAAACCCGAATTGTGAAACTCTTTATCAAACTGCTTCTCGAAAGCAAACCATTTAAATTTCAAAAATTTAGGTGCTAGCTACGGATGATAAAACCTGGAAAACATTGGAAATCAACGTGCAAAGCTCGGGAGCTTTTGGAGAAAAAGCGCAGCGGAAACTCCGAAAAAATTGGATGCAGGTATGAAAAAAGCCACAGCTTAATTATCATCATTAACCGGATTCCAAAAAGGTTAGGAGTCGTTTGCTTAATTACCATTCCCTTGTTCAAGCAAATAGCAAAATATTTTTACCAAGCTTTAATTTAAATAGCAAGAACTCTTGCACTCGTGCTTTCAGCATTTTAATGAGCTTCTGATCAAAATTTTCACGGTTTTGCGAACCCTAAAATAGTGCTCATTTCAGGACTCGTCTTCAACTTGTGCGTATCCTACCAAAAATTGAGGCCTTCGAAAAACCCCTCTATCGAACGTTTCAAATGAGATGAATTGGCGCTAAATCGAGACGAAACCACCTATTTTGGGTTGAACCGAATCAAAAAATGTGAATGGGAGATCTGACCGACCACGTCAACGCGCTGATGTGCGACAATTTAAAGGTAGGCATGCATCAAGTACACATAAAAATTCCATAAATGGGAAAACCGAAAGCAATACGGTTCTGGTCCGTTAGCGGGAGGAGGTTAATTTAATAGATATTCAATATTTCATTATTTTTTGGTGACGAACTTATCGCGGTCCGGTAGTGCGTCAAACAATACACTAATAGTAAGGAATTTAATTCTAGATCAAAACACAAACCTTTAAGAAAGTTATGATCGCGAAAATAGGATTCGTAAACTGTTTTCCGGGATTTTCTATAATTTTCGACCACATGTTAGTGCTATTCGCTAGAGCATCATAATTTAGGATAAAAGAAGCTATTAAGAAAAAATGTTTCCCCTTGCGTAAACTCCCCCCCCCCGTTAACGCACCAGACACGAAAATACTTTTTACATTGGGTTTTTAAACCAGGTCAGTACTGCTTTGCCAAATCGGGAAGACTTTTCCTATCTTTTTTTTGACTAGCAGCCGAGTTTTTATGATTTTAGAGGGTCTGATTTTACTTTAGTGAAGATGACCGGTTTTCTTGAAATACGAAATTTCAGATACGAAAGAAGAACCCTGTCGTGTATTTGGATGAGTTCTGTAGTAGATGAGACGAAAATGAAGGGCTCGAAGAATTGTTTCAGGTCTAAAATTTTTTGAATCGATCCAATATCCCCTGAAGTGTGCTGATTTTTCAATTTTTATTCAAATTCAACGAACCAAGTGTATACTTTAGCTCCAAATTTCAGATGCTAACTGGGAAACATCCGCCTATAAAACGAGATCAGGTTGAATTTTCCTGGACGAGACGGATAAGCAAATCAAAGAAGAAGATGAAAGGAATTAATGCGAAAATTAAAAGAAAATTTATGCAAGGTATGGAAAATTTCTTGATATTTATCGTCCTTTCACGAGTTCTGTTTCTAATCAATCTTCGGTTTCACGGCTTCGTTAAATCTCGATTAAAGCTACGCTACTTTAGATGTGAAAAGAAAAACATCGTCCCATATTATAACATCGCAATCGAGGTAAAACCGTGGGAGGATAATGGCCGGATTGCGGTGGAATGCAAACTCATCAAAAAATGGATTTAGGTATGAAAAGCTTCAACTATCTAGGATCGTTTCACGCGTGCTTTTCTCTATTCAATCTTGAGTTATACAGCTTTGTTAAAACTGTATAATAGCCACAATATTTTAGGTGCAAAAAGAAAAAGATCGTCACATACCTAGACGACGTAGCGATCAAGTTAATGAAGAAGAAGACCTCGTAGATGGAAAATTAAAGGAAGATTAATTACTGGAGAAATCTGGAAAGCCGTCGGAGGCAAAATTCAAACCAAGCGATTCAACTGATGGATGTCAGGTAAAGAAAAGTTTCGACCAATCCCGCATCTCGAAATCACCAGAATAGCTTAATCTACCCAATTTTAGGTATGAGAAGCACAGCGTCACACGGTAACGGAAGGACGTCATTATTGGCAACAAACAAAATTGGGAAACGGCAAAAAGACCAGGGAAGGGAAAAATCAAAAAAATCAGAAAGGTATGTAAGAACTTGAATATCTCCGTAATTTTTGAGGGCACTAACCTTAAATTAAAACACTTTCTAAAATTACCAAAACCATTTTAGTTTCCGAGATTTTAGGTAGAAGACAGGAAATATCGGTATGTTCAGCGGCGATGATTCCAGTTGAAAAGAATCGGCACGAAGAGAGCGAAAATTGCAAAAAATAAAGGCAAAATATCGAAAGATTCTTCCGAATGCATATCGTGGGCCAGAAAACGATCACGCACCGTGCATGGATTTATAATTGAAACTTCTACGGAAATTATTAGAAGAGCCAGGAAATGCCAACTAACGCTACACGAATACGGCAAAAATCAGCAAAAACACTGACCAATTCGACAAAGATAACCGAAATCGGAAAGCGCGCAAAAAGTGCGCGGAAATAAATTGAAGAAATATTCTAAGACCAATTTTGTCAATGAAGCATCAAGAAACGTCGGAAATAGTTCGGAAGCTACATTTATTATACGCGAAATTAAAGTAGGAAATCGATGGAGAGGTCGAAAAACTACACCGCACGTTTTGCGAGGCTATTTCCGGATCCGTGACAACTTATCTTGTCAAAAGAAAAAGTATATCTCCACCGGGCCGAGCTTTGAACCTCATCCATCGATGTACCTACCGAGAGATCTAATCTTGGATTTGAGAAGTGAGTGGCCCTATCAAATTTTCTACATCATCCTGAGTACCAGTCAGTCAAAAACTTTTCTAAAAATGGAATTTTTCAAGTATTAGGGTCGAAAAAGCATCTGTTAAGGAAAAGTGTCTCTAAGCTCAGAATTTTTTATATGGTCCTTATGTCCCTTTAATCGATGAGTCTCGCCAATAAAAAATACAGCCGTATTAAACTCGAGGTACCAGGACGCATAAGTTAACTTTCAGGCAAGTAAGGGTCTTCCTCGGCACAGTCGAGTCGCACAAAGCAACTCTGAGAGAGCCACCTATAGTTTTTTTTTTGTTTACCGGTCATGTCATGTCATGCCTTCAAATAATATTACCCCAACTCCTTGCCAGGTTTTAACTAGCATTTGCGCATCAAATTCAATTTATTTTCAGCGCTGAATTCTCCAGGCGAATGCCAACTGCTTGTTGAATGATGTGAACGATTGAATTGAAAAATAGGGGGCCGGACCGGAAGGATGCGCCCAAAACCGCTTTTGGAAGTCATCTCGAATTCGGCGATGTGTCGTTATGCCCATGGGATTTGTCATAAATGTTTGCTAAAAAAAGTGGCCCGTCAGTTCAAAAAAACACTGAAGTTGCTTGATTGCCATGATGCGTCCAGTAACAATAAGGCTTGCAAACAAAAAGGGACAGATAGAGGGAGATAGAGAGAAGGAGAGAGAGGGAGAGAGAGAGAGACGACTCGAGAGCGCGAGGGAAAGAGAGAGAGAGAGAGAGAGAGAGAGAGAGAGAGAGAGAGAGAGAGAGGGAGAGGGAGAGAGGGGGAAAGAGAAGGAGAGAGCGAGAGAGAGGCGGAAAGAGAAGAAGAGAGGGAGAGAGAGAGAGAGAGACGACCCGCGGGAGCCAGAGACAGAAGGCTGCCGTTATGCTAAAGCACACAAAATTGATGAAGGTTCCAGAATTTCGGGAATTTTTGCATGGCATTTCCAGAATTTTGCACTCTATTGAATCGGGCCATTAAAATGGTCCAAACGACCTCCCGATTAAGTTTCGATATCCAAATGGCGTTTCTTATTCCAGTGGGTGATTTATGATGGTGGATAAGGTGTCGATCGTCTAGATAAAACCGGCTGAATGGTGGCAGGGGTGCTGCAGTCGAGGTCGGCGCTTGCTAGCACCATTCTGTCTGGAACTGCGCACACTAACCAAAAATTGACGTTTTCTTTAGCTTGCTGTAATGATGTAGAGGTAATTAATTTGTTTTATCTTATATATTCAGTTTAATAAAATTATATTTTTGATTTCTTATTGATTTATCATCTTAATTAATCAATTAATTTAAGCAGCTAGCGTAACCTAGGCAAAACCATATAAGCCAAATTATACGAAAATTGTTAACCTCTTACTTCTTTATACCCTTGTGCTTGTAATTGATTACTGTTGATAGTTAGTTTCACTTGATCAATTGACTTGCCCTTAATTTTGTAATTTTTTTACCTCATTCTCCTCAATTCATTTTCCTTAAAGACTACCAGAACGATGGAACGCGCACTGTCACCCCGAGGGTGCTGCCCCCAAGAACGCGCAGAGAGGGTCGTCATTAGTGGTGTCCCGTATTGGGCAAAGTCCCTCTGGGGTTCGGGCCGCCTCTGACTCCCTTCCCCAGTTGGCCCTGTGGTATACTGGCTAGCGCGTCGGACTGTGGAGCGAACCATCGCGGGTTCGATCCCCGCCCGGTGCGCAACTTTCTTGCTCTAAACCATATTTCATCGTTCTGACGGTCTTTAATTCTCCATAATCAGATCTGGGAATACGCAGATATTTTTCTTTGCATTGCTTCCTTTTACGAAGTCGGTTTACCTGCTAAGTTTTGTTGGAGATGCAATGCTCAATCTGAGTGGTTTTACCAAATGACGGAGGATTCCTGAAAATACGCCTTTTCAAAGATCTCAAAACCTTTCTTTAACAATCGCTAGAGCGTCTCAATGGAACGTAACTGGTCAATCTGGATAGCTGCTACTGCAACGAGGGCCATAGCAAAAATGACCGGTGAGTCGTTCGATTTTTCGCAATAAAAAAATTTCAGGGTACAAGAAATGCTTTTTTTGTTGATGTTATATGGCTATTCGGGGATGATTCGATCTAACTGCGCGCCTCTGGTTTAAAGGTATGCGTTATCAAGGGTAAGATAGGGCAATCGAGCTACACTTTACTTTACCCTCCCCCAGCCGGAATCTTTTGGTTATAAATTTTTTTATTTTAGATGAATGTAGGCTAGGCTCAACTTAAAACTCTTACTCTATTTTTCTACGCTCTATCGAATGGCGCCGCAAAAACCCCGACAAAAAGCGAGAATACCGAAAACTTTGAGTCCTTGCGGCTGTGGGGGGTGAAGTAAAGTCTTACCTGAAATCGATGCCTCTCGTAATATTCAAAAACGATTTTGAAGTTGAAATTTGTGGCTTATTTTCGATCGATGATGCTATTGCAATTTTTAGTAATTGACGCCAGCTACAACCGCCACCGTCACACGTCATCGTTACCATCTGACGACGAGGCAGGCTCCCTTTCCCCAATTGGCCTTTTCCAAAAAAAAATATGCATCCAGAAGGTATCACACAAACAAAAAAAAATACATGCTATTGCTTCCATAATTTAGCGAGAACGCATGTACCACGAACACAGCCCGCAAAGTGGCACAAAAGTTCCAACCCTTGCTAGTAGTAGCTAGCAAGTTGCTACCGCATCCCATGCCCTTTCCAGGGATCAACTATAATAAAAAAGTAGTGGTGTCCGTCTGTCCGTCTGTCCGTCGTGTCCCGAATTCAACTCGAAGGGGAAAGGAGCTAGAGCTTAGGTCTCTTCGGATTCGGATAGAGCGTGGTCAGAAACCCTCAAACTGATAAAAAAAATTATGAAAAAGTTTTAATTTAAATTATTAAAATTAACTTTGAAAGTTTTTTCCTTAGTAAAAGGGGTGGGGGACGGAGGTTGGGGTGGTTTTGGAGATAGTGAGCCAGGTCGCGCGCGTTTCGTGGATGAAAATTTTCACGGGGGATTTCATTTGTTTTTTTTCTCATTCCATCCGGTCGGTCGTTATTTTTGTTTTTGAAGGGGATTTCGGCTAGGGGAGGTATCTTAAACCATCGGGAAGGTATTTAGGTAGTTTTTGAAGGGGATTTCGGCTAGGGGAGGTATCTGAAGCCATCGGGAAGGTATTTAGGTAGTTTTTTGAAGGGATTTCAGCCATGGGGGGTATCTGAAGCCATCAGGAAGGTATGTAGGTAGTTTGAAGGGGATTTCAGCCATGGGGGTAACTGAAGCCATCAGTGTAGGTATTGCCATGAAGGCATCAGCGTAAGGTAGGGATGAAATTTGGTGGTGTAGAATGGGGAGGGTAGCCCGAAGTCCAGCCGGTTACAGTCGCGAAGCGGCTGTAATCGGCTGGTATTTTAGGAGGTTTTTGGGCCCGAAACGGCCAAACAAGCTACACACTAACCGCATTGCGTTTTAATTGGAAATCAGTATACCACTTGTAGATGACTTAAACCTAGCCTACTTCCTTTGTCAGAAGCTAAAGCATTCTTGAATTTCAGCCAGCGTAGTGTCTTTCCCAGGACAATAAGCCGTTGTATAACAATATGCCGCTAGCTTGTCTATAACCTTGAAGTTAAAACCCACCGAAATTGTATTTTCAAAGCCCGTCGAACCCAAGCAAGATATTGGCCGCCCACACCCGCTACGATCTGCACTCAAATACGCGCCGCAAAATCGCTCAACGATATCGGCCTAAGGTCGAATTGAGTGCCAGGGGGGCACCTGTTGCTCCGGAGAAAAGTAAATAATACGAAGAACTAATATATGCAACAACTAAATATTGAAATAAAACAATGAAGACTGAACAAAAACACTCCATCTTTCGCGGTTGCAATCAGCCGCCAAATTGACCTTATTAAATACACGATCTGCAATGGTAATCTTAGTTATCGTACTTACGCGTGCCCACTCGAGCCATCGACGAAAAACTCATCCAATCAAATCGAGAACACAACACGAAAGATGTACCTTCTGTCTAAACGAGGGAAGCAGATAACGGAGAGCTATACAAAAAATGTAAAAACACATTCAAACAGAAGTGCGCGAAGTGTAACAACACAAGCAAACCTAAACAAACAAAAAGCACAAGTGTCCTACCCATAGGACTGAAATGAGCTCGGCTCTTTCGCCGTCATTGTCGGTCTTTCCTGAGGACCTGATCGCCAACTCTCCCATTCGCTCTGTCTCATCACACCCCCGACTTTCTTTTGTGCTCAAGAAGCTGAAGCCGAATCTTTACGAGTAGGCTTTGGAGGGCTTCCTTCCGCCATTGTTCCGGACGAATCCGGTCCAGAACCGCACTTTCCATGAATTTAGCGCGCGGGTTCCGGTCAACAAACGCCCAAGTTTGTGGTTCCAGCGCCCCGGAATTTCACTTTTTGAACTGTCAGGAAATTCTGAGGAACGCATTGATGAAAAACCTGTTAAGGCTACCTGGTGACATGGTTTTCCATCAATAATCACTGCTACCGAGAAGTCCAGTCGCTAAAGAATGCGTTATTCGAGAGCCGAGGCTCCGGCGATCAGAAGCTTGCCGAAAACCCGATCGTCCACATCGTGAAGCGGGGTCTTTAAGCGTCCAGGCATTCAATTATGCTTATTGTTAACCAATTTACTCACTCCATAAACCAATTCGCGTTTTTAAGATTTTTTTTGGCAGATTTGGGTGGGTGAACCCAAAATTATGACCACTTGCCAAAATGGTAATTTTACAAAAAAAACCATTTAAACAAAAACTAAAAATTTTTCGCGGTTTTCCTTTGAAGGCCGGATAAGAATATACTCGCCAAACCTTATACTCAAAGCGCCCGGCGAGAGCCCCATTGCTGTGCGAGAAAAGCCGAAAACTTTGGGTGAACCCAAAATTATGTCCAGCAGTGTATTCCTCCGAAACTAACAGCTGTATCCAGCGTCTGCCGAATGGGCTTCGAACGCAGCAACCAGCTTGTTTCCCAGATGGTCCTGTGGAAGCCCACTATTATCTCGCCAGGGCAGGAGACGAAAAAAGGAGGTGAGCACCAAGTGCAAACTTCGCGCCCCGCCGTATTAAAGGCCAGGACCAGCCTCTAGGACGGAGAGACGAAGATCTAATCCCCGCAACCTCCAACAAAGGGCACATCGAAAACCGCGAACGGTGCACGTTATGCCTCAACAAGGGGTGCTTGAAGCTTGCAAACCATGTGCTTGCCTACGTCCCCTTAAAAATTGAATACTGCAACAACAGAATCATCGAAAAATAACAAGAATTTGCATCCGCAAGGAAAACTAAAAATAAGAAGCTTAAGGGAAAGGATCTAGTCCACGTACGAACTTTCAACAGTCCCACTTGTGGAAACCCTATTTTAGCTCAAAAATCCGACGAGTTAAATGGCCAATTAGCCTTTGAGACAGCAAGATTAACGAGACCGAAGGCAGGGAGACGAAAAAAGGAGGTGAGCACCAAGTGCAAACTTCGCGCCCCGCCGTACTAAAGGCCAAGCGCTATAGCGCATAATTAAGACGGAGCTCTAATCTCCGAAACATCGAACAAACGACCGAGGTTGACATCTAGGGACTCAAAATCTAAAAAAAAAAAACCCAAAAAATATGGAAAGAAATTGGAAAGAGCCGAGATATTCGGCAAAAATTGGCTGCAAAATTTAAACCGAAGATCATGTTCGCGACTGATTCATGTGCCTATTGTGAGGAGCATGCCAGCTCCCTTAACTGCCCTCTATAGACAACGACCAAGGACATCCTTACCTCAGCGCGCTTAACACACGTTTTACGTTCTGCCTATGCCACCACAAGTGGGTATGTCAAATTCAAGCAGAAACCCCATTTTCTGTCATCTTTCCCAACAAATCTCGATTGAAAATCAAAACAAAGATTGGGTCCTTACCTCTTGAGGCCGCAAAACCACCTCAAAGGATCAGTACACGCAGCATACTGTCCCTTTAATAGCCATCTAACGGGAACAGCTTCGATTAAAGCCAACCCCAGGAAAAACTTTCAGATTAGAGTGTACCTTTTGCATCTTTTGCTTCCGGTGCACTCTTTGCTTCAAATTGCTTGCGGCTTACAAACTATCGAATACCGCGATAGCAAAATAATCACCGGAAAACAACAACAATTTTAAAGCGCAAGAAAAACTAAAAATAAGAAGCTGAAGAGAAAGGATCCATTCCTCGTACGAACTTTCAAACGTCCAACTCGTGGAAACCCGCTTTGGCTTACAAACTCGACGCTGTAAATATGTTTAACTTCGAAACCTAGAAATAGTGATGAGCGTAGACTGGCTATAAAAGCGAAAACTAAAAACCATTAAAAATAATAATAAATCCTATATAGCGCCATATAAATTGCCTTGGCACATTAATCGGTGAGTAGCTTGTACAGCCGAAAAGCTAGATTTTTTAAATTTGTTTAATTTCAAAAATGTTAAAAGTAATTTTTACATCCCAGGTAGAAATTGGCAACATACCACTTTATAATAATTAATAATAAACACTCAAAAATCAAAAAACCATCGACACGTTACCCGGCGAGTTGCTTTGTGCCTCCAAACTCGACGACTTATTTTGTTTCATTTCAAAAAATGTTGGTTTGATAATATGGACCTAAAACCCGCCATTATTTAAACACCCGAAAAAATCCATTTATGGATCTATTAAAATCATAGTTTTGTTTAGGCATCCCTCAATTCCAACCAATTTGTATGTGATCTATCCCTACCCTTGTATTGTTGTGATTGAATAAATAACCGAATAAGTTTTTTTCCTGTGGCCGGCACCGCAAATTAAAAATAATCGCAACAAAAAACACACGAGCCCTTTGCGAATTGAAAAATACATGATTTGATAATTTCGTAGTAGGTTCATAAGCAGCCTATAGAATTTTGAGTTTATAAGATTAATGATTAGTTTTATGATTATCGATTCAAAAAAAACCTTCAAGCAAGCTTCTCCTCCCACTTTACGACATCCATTTTTCGAATTGGCGCGCCGGGAATGTGTAGTATGGAGGCCCCTCCTGGTGCTTTGGGCCATTGGGTCCTCGGCTGTAATACTAATGACCCGCTTAACTTTCGAAATATACAACAATATACATAGGCTTTTTTTATCTTATATACAATTATCAGCTTTTAATCCGCTGCGACTCTTTAGATTTTTCAATAAAAATGATCAACTTGCTTTTTAACGTTTGAATCTTAAAAAATTTGATTGTTAATTAATGAACTTTTTAATCCACGTTTTAATTCGTTTTTTAATTCGTCAAAAACGCTTAAGGCAGATCTCATAAAAAATATGCCGATTCGCTACTTTTCCGCTCTTCACTGGGACTTCTTCGTCATCCGATTTTTTTTCCTGCGTCGTGTTGAGCCTTCAAGACCAAAACTTACTTTTAGACCCAATCTCGGCTTGGTTAATTTTTCCAAGAAACGTTGCGCCTTCGTAAAATGGCACCTTTGGTTGGTACACCAAAAGTCGAGAAGAATTTTACAAAGCTTTCATTTATTCCCTGATCTTATACTCGTGTGTGATCAGGTTCATGGAGGTAGAATTTAGGTAAATCTCCTTTCCGGAAACCTCTATTTTTAAGGGTGCGGAAAAATCGATGACAGAAATTTCAAGGAATCGATTAATAACACGGAAACCTGTATACGGCTTCTTAAATGCTGAACGTCTAAAGGTATGCGAAATTGTCATTAGAGTGTATTTAAAAATATTTCAAAATAATTTTTTGGGGGAAATGGCAGGTTTCCTGCGACGAGATGGTGTCTCGGAAGCGTCCCACCGATCCAGAATATCGTTTTAGGATGGTTAATGGCTCTATGTTTCTGTTTTAAGAGCCACAGTCGCTGAAAAACAAGGAGAATAGCAATTTTTGTAGCGCTACGATTTTCTTTAACACCTTATAATTAGGCCACTTTAAATCTATTTCGTAAAATCCGAATTAAACTTGCGAAATGATTAGTGCTTTGGATAAACTTGCATGGAGATGTGTTTTTGAGGGTCGTCGGGACTTTGGGATGGAACCAAGTGTAGCTTGTGCAGAATTTTGCACTCTCCGTCGTTATATCGTGATTGTAAAAGCCTTGCCGATCCCATGCTTCGTGTAATAATACGAAAATTTCAGGGTGATGAAAAATGCCGATCAACATGTTTGAGTACTTCTTTCGGCGCTATTCAAGCGCCGTCAGGTCACCAACGGGAAAAGAAATCTGGTCGTCCGAAAGCTTCACGCTGGAACAATTCGAGAAACGGAAGATAATTAGAGCAGATAGAATTGAAGATAGAAGAGGAAAATAACACTTATGGGCTCTAGTAAAGCAGTGCAGATCTGGGAAGTTAAATTCGAGGTGATTCACGTCCTTCTAATTTTAAGCTCCATTTTCAGGCACTTCAAACCACAACCGTATGTATACTTTTGATGGTTGGTGGCTGGAGTCTATTCAAGTCTTCAAGACAATGGGAAGTTCTGTCGCTGTAGATTCGGCGTATGACATCCAAATCAGGTACCACATAGTTCTAGAGATGTTACGCATAGCGACGCGACGTCGGGATACCATGCAAATCAGGGTGCAAAGCACAAAAAATTATTTTGGCTAGCTGGTTTTCGACTTTGCACCCTTATTTGCATGTTATCTCGACGTCGCGTCGGTATGCGTAACATCTCTAGTTCTAACAAGGGAACTTTCCGAATTGAAATTGCGAGTGATTAATGGGAGACCCCCACGTCCATACTAGTTTTTGACGTTGATTCCGTTTCCGCGAGCCGTTTAGTGATTTTTATGGCTAGAATCGCGATAATTTTTTACATAGGGCCTGTTATTTTGCAACGCAACGCAACGCAACGACTCCGCGTAGTTACAAAAAACTCCCCGGATCTCAAAAACTAAGGGACTGCGGCAAAAAGGCTTGCAGATTCGGAAGTAGCGTAAAAAACCGTTCTAGACAAGTAATCTCCCATTAGTCGCTCGAACTTCCGCTTTGCAACCGTTCCCTTGTACGGATTTTGGACAAAAACTCCCCCAACCGGAACCTCGCCTTTTGCATTCGAAATTTCCTTAATGTCCGCTATATTTTGGATTTTAAATGTGATATATTTTCTCTGCTGCTTTGTTAAGCTGCCAATTTAAATCTATGGTTTTTCAGGGAAAAATCTGTGACTTCACATGTTTAAATACAATTCCCAATGATAATCAAACGTCAAATGGGGTGCTGCAAAAATAAATATCAGGTACTGTTCCGGAAGATTTTTTTGCCAAGTTAAGTTAAGGCACGATTTGTTTAACTGGAATTTTGAGCTCAAGGCTTGGTAATTTCGGTTTTTAGGACAATAGCTTGAGATTTCGGGATGTGCTTTCTCACCCGAATTATATCGGCAGCGTTCTGGAAAAGGAAAACAAATGGTGTGCGCGTCATAAGCACTCCTTTGCCAATGATTTAAATTTTGACTATGGACTCACGTTAAAAAGTGCAGATCCGGAGACGTGAAGTAACACGGTAATTGCAGTGCTCAAATTTTCGATAAGCGTCAAATCCAGATACATCCGAACACAAATGGAGATCTTCTTCAGAGGGTTGGTTGTGCAACCGATTCGATCCCATCGACCTTTTTAGAAGGAATACTAATGCAAAACCTGTACGAATATACGTTTCGAAGCGTTGCTAAGCACAATCATAGCTCTGTCAAGATCTGCTGGACTGGTACAAAAGAGAAACGAGGTACTACTTGTAAGGATTTTCGTGTCCTATTTCGATAGTTTAATATTGATTTAATATCTTTTTATATTTCCTATAGGGTGCCCCAATAAAAAACACTCCCCTCTAACTCCACGCAGAAGTATCGGATCGGATCGATAGTTACACCACTCGGGCCCTTGAAATGGCGGCTTTGCAAAAATGCTCAAAACCATTTTTTTTTTGTTTCAACGCGGCATTTTACAACGAGTTCAAAACATTAAAAAACGGTATTCGCAGCTAACTAACGGCAATTTCCGGTGATTTTGCTTGGAGAAATTGAGGTAAAATAGCTCGTAGGCGGCCCGAAAAATCGCAAATTTTTACAAAATGGCTTGCAAAAGAGCGCATTTAAATCAAAACAAGAAATTTTTTGCAAACCCCCTTTTCAAGGGCATTTTAATGGTGCAGGTACCATTCCGATCCGAAACTGCTGCGTCGAGTTGGCCGGGGGTTGGTTTTTGTTAGGAACCTTGTAGTTTTAGCTGTTTTCTAGTTTTGTAGTTGAGTTCAGGATTTATTGGTGTTCATCTTTAGTTTTCATAAATCCAGATTTTTTTAGGAAGATACCTCGAAACTCCTATCTTCGTCTCGACGAGCCAAAAATAAATATGAAAGAATTTGCAAGTTAACGAAGTTCCTAATGGATTTGATCTCGGATCAGGGAGGCCGAACTCTAGGTAAATAATGGTCTCCCTTGCCTTAAGATTCAAATTTGGACGCTCTAAACGACAACAGCCTACGTACTTTTTGATGGTTGGTTTCCCCGCCTATTTACCCCTATGGAATTTTCGGAATGGAATTCTCTGCGGCACTTGTACAAGTAAATGTTCCGACCAAATGCTACGAACGATTACGGTTCTGTCAAGAAGTGCTGGACTGGTACTTGAAGAAAATATAGTTCCAACCGGAGAAAGGTAAAAATTTTGCTTTCAGTAAAGTTGAATTCAAGATTATATTTTTTTCACAGGCATTAATTCTGCTTTCGGGGTTCAATTGTGCGGTATGTGATAATTTCAGGTCCGATGGCATGAATCCGCACCGATTTTTCCTAGTGTGTCGTTCGCTCCTACGTCAGAAATGGCCTTCGAACTACACCGTTTAGCGCCCTCCTAGCGTCGCGTCGCTTCATCCGATGGAAAAAGTAAGGAAGAAATCTATTTCCCGTCCTCTCCGGCCTAGCTATTAAAATTCCCCATTTCTAGGTGATGTTGGCAGCTCTCAAATACAAGATCAACAAAGATATAATACTTCCAATACAATATCAACAAACATATAATACTTCCGAGCTATCGATTTACTGTGTGGCGAAGCTTCTAAAGTTTGAACAATTATTTCGTCCATGCCTTGTACCGTGAATGGTTTACATCATTAGCACAAACAGAATAAACTCTTCGTTGGAAATTGGACCCAGCGTATTGAATCTTACACAAGGTATTATATTCAGGGGATGGGAACGGCCGGTAAGAGAGCGAGAGAGAAATAGAGCGAGAGAGGGAGAGAGATAGAGAGATAGACAGGAAGAGAGAGCGAGAGAGAGCGAGATAGAGAGATGAGAATGAGAGAGAGAGAGAGAGAGAGAGAAAGAGAGAAAAAGAGAAAAATAAGGTTTGAGACCGTCCATGAACCGAGCTATGCGGAAATTCCCTGCCGTCATTCCGTATCTGCAGATTTTCCGTTTGTTACAAACACGCCTAGAACCCGTCTTTAACATTAAATTACTGTAACGCATGACCACCACTGTGCATTGCTACGCAACGAAACGCTACCCAGCCTGTGCAATTTTTCGGCTCGCCCCGAGCCCTCAGACTCAAATTTTTGGCGATTTATTGTTGGGACACCCTGTACATACGCATAGCTTTGGCGCCAATCGCCTGCTGCCCGGGGCCCCTTGGATCGTAAAGAACGTCATTTTGCCGATATGGGTCAAAATAGCTTACCTGGCCTCGGGATGGACCACAACACAACCTTTATGGTCCACGGCCAGGGCCCTGCTGGCACGCGCGCCTCAACTTACTGCCGTTATATTCATTCCATATCGCCTCCCATTCTGAGAGGACCCATTTTTTCGTATGCTCATGAAGTACCTCTAGGAATACGCTCTCTTTCTATTTCTCTCTCGCGCTCTCGCTCTCTCGCTCTCTCACTCTCTAGCATATAATGTTTTATAACCAATTTACCCCCCCCCCCCCCCCCCCCCCCCCCCCCCCCCCCCCCCTTCCTATTTTTTCTTTTTCCTTTCCCCCCCTCTCTCCCCCTCCCCCCCTCTCTGTCACTCTCTCTCTCTCTCTTTCTCATTCCCTCGCTCTCTCTCACTTTCTCATTCCCTCGCTCTCTCTCACTTTCTCATTTTCACATTCTCTTTCAATCTCTCTCTCTCTCAATCTCTGTTCTTAGCACTCTCGTTCTCACTCTCTCGCACTCTCTCTCCCCCTCTTTTCGGTAATACGATTCGTTTTCAGGTTCGGCCTTTACTTGAGGAAATTCTTCCAAACCACAGGCGCCTTCCGAAAAAGACGCTGCTTTTCCGATGGCATATATGCCTTCGGATTGAACTATTTTATCAGATGGCACCGTCTTCAGCAGGTGATATCTACGTTGCGCCGGTCAGCCGAACACAGTATTTATTTAAGCTTATCGTTTATTTAATTTCTAATTTTTCAATTCATTCATTAGGTTCTGGTTCGTTAGCAGGGGGGCGGGGGTTATCGGGAGAATAATATTATTGTTACTTGTTCCAGACAATTCCGGCAACCATTGGGGGGCATGGCGAGGTTTACGAATGGAGGGGGCCAAGACTGGAAACGACGCGCTCGCCATGAAGCGTGTCGCGCTCGACGACGACACGTTGCATCGGGAGCGACAAATGAAGGGGCTATATGGGAAGGTGATTTTTGACGGTGAAATTCTCGTTCACCCCTTCGAAATATTCGAGTCTGAAACCCGTGGCAGATCGAGGCATAACGACTTAATCTTTTCGACTTTTAAAATCTTGTAAAAAATTTCCTAGCGACTTTTGGGATCAGAAAACAGCTTGGCTGAAGACATTCGACGCATCAATAGGTCATGTGGCTGAAAAGTTGGGGTTGGGGGGTGGGCGGGTAAACTAGACCCTTACCTCTCCGACCATAAGCTAATACACCCGGATTCTCGCTAAAGGTAGCGGATAATTTATTTTTTAAGGATTGTGCTACATTGATCAGATGGACTCATACATAATAGCGATGGACTACGTGGCCGCAAGGGATTTATGCAATTACGAGTGTAAGCTATGACAATTACATTGATATAAACCATTCACTACAGACGGATACGGCGGAATAGGTATGGATGAGCTCGCATATTTCCATCATTAGATGTGCAAAGGGTTGAAGGCAATGCATAAGATAAACGTCGTACACTTGGACATGAAATCCGAGAACATATGATTCGACGGGCATAGCGGTAAGTAATAATATAGTAAATTGCCTAACATAGGAGAAGTAATATAGCTTAGTAAGTATGATATATTAATCTATCTTTTCAGGGACGGCTCTCATATGCGATACCGGATAATGGATTATATGGTGGGCAAGGACCTATATCACTATGAATGTTAGCTAAAAGAACCAAATTAATATAATCTGCTCACTATAGACGGGTGGGAGGAATGAACATGGACGAGATGACGTACATCTACAGGGAGCTCGCCAAAGGACTGCAAGCCATGCACGTGCTATTTCTAAGGAGACAAACAAATTCTACAAACTGAGAACCTCGTTTCAGGACCCTCAGGTAATTTTAGTCCTGATTGGAGTTTTTATTATCAAATTACCCAGGTAGTCACTGAGATTGTCAAATTGACCGGCATCAAGGGAATTAGGACATGCAACGCCGCGCGCTCAAAAAGTCGATTTCATCCCGAAAACTTTGGTTTTTCGCAAATACAGGGTGTCCCAATAAAAAAGGTCACGCTGGCATTTTGCTATTTCAAATCCGATCGACTTGAAATTTTGCACAGAGGTGCGGAAGGGAACTTAAAATGTTCACAGAAACTTTCAGCCCGATCGGTACAGTAGTTTTCGAGTTATTGTAAAAATACTGTTTTTTCCACACTTTAGCTTCATTTTTTCGGCTATCTTTTTGGACTTTGCATCAATTAACATAAATTTCCGGCTCTAAATCCCTCATTCTTCTTAACATCGGCGTCGTTAGCCCTTGTTAAAAAACACTTAAATAGCTTATTTTCGACCCGAATTTTGCGAAATAAAAAAAATCCCGAGGATAAAAAAGGCCCGGCACTTCATTTTCTCCATACATTCCAGGGCTCAATTCCGGCGGAATCCAGGTGAAAAGCGTAAAATAAAATTTATTTTTGCTATAACTCGAAAGCTACTGTACCGATCGGGCTGAAAGTTTCTGTGAACATTCTAAATTCCCTTCCGCACCTCTGCGCAAAATTTCAAGTCGGACCTACTTTCAGCGTGACCTTTTTTATTGGGACACCCTGTAGATTGGGTTTCGGCAATGAAATCAACTTTCTGATCTTGTTCTATTCAGGGAAGTAACCCGGTCATTTTTGGCATTTGAGGATCGGTCCCGTACTCATATCGCTATCGTCGCCTTTCGTGAGTCATCGTCAAAACCTTACGAGCCCTAGCTCATTCGATAGAGACTTGAATTCTGCACAAGGTGCCGTTGTTCACTTTTGCGGAATAGCTGTCTCCGATTTTATAAAATTAAAAAATTCGTGGCCGTCCGCTACCATGAGTGCCTTTCGAGCGAAAAGTGACGCATTCGAGTGCAGCTATAAACGTTTATGAAATCGGGGATGGCCATTCTGCAAAAATGAACCACGGAGTCTTGTTCAGAATCGAATTATCTATCGAATGAGCTAAGTCTCAAATGGCGTTGCAGATGACTCAAAAAAGCACTCCTTGTCAGGCCTTTTGAGTTCCTAGCCCCTTTAATACTCCGCTTTCCAGAAATGATCATCATCAACCTAATGGGTCCGGTCAAGTTGAATTGGAAAAGCAAGTAGCCAATGAACGCCGGAGAGAGTAAGTTCTTTTCTCATCAGTGCGTTTCAAAAAACAATCAAGATTGAGAAGCCGCTTCCCGGCTTTTCGAAACTAGCCCGTCCAGGACCTGTGAAAGGCTTCGATTTGCATGATTCCTCCCAACTGGCAGCAAGAAAAAAAATTGGAAAAGCTAAATTTAACGGAATTGATCTTGCTTTCAGGAAACTCGACACGAAGACGCCGTGTCTCGAAATCCCGCCTCGCGTCTACGACTCGGACGCCTCAACATCGCCCCGCCTAAAAATACCCCAAAAAAAAGTCTTCTGTGCTGCAAGAGCTTGAAATTTGAAATGTTCTGAATTTGACGTATATAGCACCATTTTGGTTATAAATAAGGAATTTATTCAGAAAAATGGAACAAGACCTGGATTTTCTCCAGGTTCAGAATTTATTCGGTGGGTTGTAGCTTGAGTTTGTAGTATGTCACACAGACATGACGGTCTTGGTCCACTAATCATCCATCGAGCCCTCCATCATCTGAAATAATGAGGATAATATAATAATAAATATATAAAAAAATATAAATATAAATATAATGTAATAAAATAATAATGAGAATCCTACTATATATAAAAAAGTTATGTCTATGTGTTTTCCTCCCAAGCCTCGATTTTTTATATAAATAGTGGAAGTGTTTCTAAATTGTTTATAGCTATTCTTAAACATAAAAACTTTACAAAATTTAATTGAAAAATTTAATTTTAGGTCGAAAAATGAATTTTTTCCGCCCAAAAATGAGCAAATTTTCGACTTTTTCAAACGTTTTTCTAACTTTTTAAAAGTTTTTCCGATTCAAATAGGCTTAAATTTTAAACAATGTGAAAACACTTTATATTTGATTATTATCCCCACCAGGCCCGACAAAACAAGTTGGTTCCCCCGCGAAACGACTTAACGTTTTAGCTTAATCCATTGTTTTAATATTCAACTTTAATGGTTTGAAATAATGATTTTCGATAGCTCAATATGGGTAAAGGCTAGTCTAAAATCAGACAAAATTGAATCTTATCATGCAATTGAAAAAATTGCCAACTACCGAAGATTTAACCTACAGTATTTTTCCTTCTTTGCAGTAATTTTGCCAAGGGTTTCAACACTAGTCTTGACGATCCCGGGATACTCGTGCTTGAAAAGCGCCCCATCGGG